AATCATTATAATTTTGATCACAGGCATTTACTGTAGAGAATTCAAGTGATGTGAGGGTAAGTGGGCTCAATATTGTGAACAGCCAACAAATGCATGTGGCCGTAGAGCAGTCCACATCTGTTACCATCTCTCATCTCACGATAGAGGCACCAGGAGATAGCCCTAACACAGATGGGATTCACATACAGGGCTCTAGCTCCATAACCATAGAGGATTGTAACATAGGAACAGGTTTGTGGTTTTAATTTTGATGTAATGTTTCCACATACCAAATGTTGATTATATTGTTTAAAAAATAGCCGGTCCGACTCGAGATCGGAAACATGGCAAATTTGGGGTGAAAAATCCTAGAATCACCCAAGTCTCTTGATTTTTCATAATTTTTACAATTTTTTGTTTAAAACGTCAAAGTAAGTTCTAATATATATAGCTATTCATTTTTCAGGAGACGATTGCATTTCTATTGGACCTGGAAGCTCTGATCTCAATATCTCTAACATAGTTTGCGGCCCTGGTCATGGCATAAGGTCTCTCTCTCCTCACAATTCTTTGAAAGCATATTTTGTTCCACTTTATTGGAATCTCTCCCTCCCTCTGTCTCTCTCCTTGTTCTCTCTCTTAAGGAATTTTATTGGAATCTCTCCCTCTCTCTATCACGGCTCATTCTAATTTTGAATTGTTTTTGGGTAATTCAGTAGGCATACTTACTCATTTTTTTTATATAGATTAGAGAGTTAATTTTTTTAAAAACCACATCGTGATAACTAAATATGGGGGTGCTACCACCACGATCTAGCTCCTTTTCCTACAATTTGGATTTGGAACAACTTAAAGAAGAGAGAATTAGTACTCTTTTAATGCAGAAGAGTAGATGCAAAATTTTTGTAAATGAATTTTGGCAATCAACCAAATAAGTGCACATTAACGGTTAAATTCAAATAGGAAAAGGATTTCATGCTCTTGAGAGCATCATGTCCATTTACTTTGTCGGGTAGAATCCTGACTAATAATATTTTAAAGGAAAGGTTTCTATATTTCTCTTACAACATAGAAGAATTATACTTCCCCTACCATCCAGCCGTTCAATTTTGATCAAGAGAGCCACTCATTGTTTGATCTTAAATCCGACGTCTCAAAGTTTTTATTTTTAGTTTTTTATACAAATTGTATAAATATGGAATTTCGTACATGTCATCTTTTCATTGGGGCGAACCTATAAAAAGTATTAAAAATAATTTTTCTATAAAATATAATGACCAAAATACCCCTTGAAACTTTTAGGGGTATTTTGGTCATTTTATTTTATTAGAAATATTTTTTTTATATATTTTTCACTAGTACGAGTTTAATAGAGGATTGGGCGTCCAAAATTTGGTGTCAAAATAGTTTATAGAAAAAAATTGAAAATAAAATAATGTAGAGATGTGACACTTTAATTGGGAAATTCTTAGCCCTCCATTCAGAATGGAGGGTTGGATAAGGGGAAGTACATAAGTTTTATGTTGTAGAGGAAGCATAAAAACTTGTCTATGTTTTAATAAATCCAGAAGGATGTAATCATCTTACTCAAGAAAAATAAAAAAATTAATACGCACTTTCCCTATGCCTGAAAAAACAGTCGCCTTCCAACGTTTATAGGAATCTAATTCGTTTTCTAAAGTAATACACGTCTGATGATTCTAAAGTAGACTCGTTGAGAGGTCTTTTAACCTGATGGAGAAAGTCAATAATGTGGTCCTACGGTGGTACACTATAAGTGCTTATCTTTAAACGGTTTAACATTTTATGAGCTGATTTCCCTGCGCATGCACAGTATTGGAAGTTTGGGGAAGGGAGGAAAAACATCAAACGTTGAAGGTGTGCATGTGAGAGACATTAACATGACAGGGACAACAAATGGAGCCCGGATTAAGACCTGGCAGGTAAGATTAGTTATCGAAGTAAAAATTTTTGTAAATCAATTAGAGGTGGGGTTCTGTATGTGTCTCTACACACATATAATTTATAAAATTATGTGATAAGAGATATGGATTGTTTCATTTTAATTAGGGCTACCAATGGGCTAGGTAGCTTGGCCCGGGCTGACCAGGGAAAACCATGACGGCACAAACTTTGGCCCATGGGTGAAGCTCGGATGGCCATTCAAGGCCTCTACGGACCTGCTCTGGCCCAACCCAAGCCATGGTGTACCAACCCTAATTTTGATGAAATGCTAGGGACATAATTAATAACAATGTTGTACTACGTGATAAACACAGCTAGCATCCATGTGTTTGCTTTTAGTCCACTCTTAATTGTGTGTTTGATTTTACTCCACTCTTAATTGTTCTATCGAGATTGAACAACGGTAGATCTCCAATCAATGTGTTTGATTTTAGTCCACTCTTAATTGTTCTATCGAGATTGAACAACTGTAGATCTCCAAACAAATAAATCGTATCTTGACAGAGACCCTTATAAGAAATTCCCATGCATGAAATCCCTTCCCTAATTATGCTTTTCCCCTTAACAAACAATTAAACAATGCACAACCAAAATACACATTTGCCACAATCTAAAAAACAAATGAAATCTGCACCAAAAAGGTCTATATCCTATAATAAGCTATTAACTAACATGTTCTAGTTTGTTTTAGGGAGGGGCTGGGACGGTAAGTGACATCACCTTTGAAAGGATAACCATGGACAATGTAGACCGTCCCATCATCATCGACCAATACTATTGTGATGCCAATTATCATTGCCAAAATCAAGTGAGTATCATAAACTCTCTTCACAAACTTTAATTTTTCATCTAAAATAATTATGGACTAAAATTGGTAAATTACAACACTAAGCTTGTGATATACGTTGAATTTATATAGAGGAGTGTAATTTCTTAGAAGTGATTGTAAGTATAAGAGTGTTTGCCTCATTATCACTCTTAGCCGATGTAAAATCAGGTAGATGAGGTGTCATTTTTTCACATAAAATTTAAGAAATATTTTTTCAGACTTTGAGTGTGGTGTGTGGTGAGTGGCACAGCTGCAGTTTAACAGTTAAGGGTGATTGAAACATATTTTACAAAAAAAAACTATCTTCTTAATACTTTTTCTTTTAAAAATAGTTTCAGTTCTAAATAAATCATAATCTTGTGTTTGGTTTTCTATAGACATCAGCTGTTGAAGTGAAAGGGGTGAAATTTATTGGAGTAAGGGGAACTTCAATCAAACCAGAGGCAGTGAAATTGGCTTGTTCTACGAGTGTGGCTTGCACTAATATCCTTCTTGATGGCATAGAACTAAAAACAATTGGTGGGGAGAAGACTGTGTCTTATTGCCTCAACGCCTTTGGCTCAGCCAATGGCCAAGTCATTCCCAAGCCATGCCTCAATTGATCCATTATTACTCTCTCTCTATCTCTATCTCATCTTCTAAGGACTAGATTGGAGGCACATTTATATTGATATACATCATTATGAATACATATTGAGATATGGATATGCATGGGTATATATCTCTTAGGTGTCTTTTGATTATAATAAGATTAGTTAGAAGTTATCCATAACCATTGGTATTTATCTTTAATTGTTACCTGTATATTTATACAGGTCTTGTATATTTTTGATCAAAGAGAGAGTTTTGCATTATTCTGAAATATGCCCAAATATACAGAAATACAGTTTCTAACAGCTTTGGATTTCAATTTTCTTAGGGATTAGAATGGTCACTTTAGATTTCAATTTTCTTAGGGATACACATGGTCACTTTAGATCTTAGTCTTGACATAAGAGGTTCAAGCTTGGAACCCTAGGTCAAAGGGAACTTCAATTTTCTTAGGGATTAGCATGGTCACTTTAGATTTCAATTTTCTTAGGGATACGCATGGTCACTTTAGATCTTAGTCTTGACATAAGAGGTTCAAGCTTGGAACCCTAGGTTAAAGGAAACATGCATACACAACTCTCTTTTGTATGAGAAATACATAGAAAGAATCCTGTAAGAATTAATATAAATACACCATTGAAGCCCAGGTTATAATAATAAGAGAAAATTATGTACATATCCGTTACAGTTTGTGTTATTATAAAACTTTACCTATCTGTTTTTTTATGTCATAACAAAAATTATTTTAAAAAATAATCTTACTCTTTTTCGTTGTTCAACAATCGAATTTAATGGATTTTTTATAGTTCAACAACCGAAATCCGTTGAATTTTTGCTTTTGAAAAACCGAAAATTCAAAATGTTTTTTTCATGTCATGACAAAAAAAATTTTAAAAAATAATCTTACCCTTTTCGGTTGTTCAACAACCCAATTTAATGGATTTTCAGTGGTTCAACAACCGAAACAACCCAATTTAATGGATTTTCGATAGTTCAACAACTGAAATCCGTTCAATTTCTGTTTTTGAAAAACCGAAAATTTAAAATTTTTGGTCCTTCAACAAGCGAAATGTTTTTAGGAACTCTACGTATTCTCTCTCTATGTATCCTCTCTCGATGGATTTTCTCTTTTTCGGTTGTTGATCAATTGAATTCAATGGATTTTCCTTTTTTTGATTGTTGAACAATGGAATTCAATGGATTTTCAGTTGTTCAACAATTGAAATCCTCTATACCTTTCTTCGTATTCTCTCTCTATAGATTTTCTCTTTTTCGGTGGTTGAAAAATTGAATTCAATGGATTTTCTTTTTTTCTCTTCGTATTCTCACTCTATGGATTTTCTCTTTTTCGGTGATTGAACAACTGAATTCAATGGATTTTCCTTTTTTCGATTGTTGATTGTTCAACAACTGAAATCCTCTACACCTTCTTTCACTTAAGCTTTACTCCGTCATTTCAAACTCTTATCAATGTTTATCTACATAGATTAGTCATGGTAGAGAGAGAATGGATAAATATAAGGAGGAGTTTAAACAAGAGAGAATGGATAAACAAGTCATGGTAGAGAGAGAATGGATAAATATAACGAAGAGTTTAAACAAGAAAGAATGGATAAACATACGAATAGTTTAAACCACTCAATCTAAGGTATAGAGAGAGAATGGATAAAGAGAAGGGATAAACATAGGGGAGAGTTTAAACCCACTCAATGTTGATCCATTCTTTCCCTATACCTTACATTGATGGGTTTAAACTCTTTGTTACCTTAAAAACTTTCTCTTATGTTTATCCATTCTCTCTCTTATGTTTATTCATTTTCTCTATACCTTGAGTGGGTTTAAACTCTTCTCTATTTTTATCTATTTTCTCTCTCTTATGTTTATTCATTTTCTCTATACCTTGAGTGGGTTTAAACTCTTCTCTATTTTTATCTATTTTCTCTCCTATGTTTATTCATTCTCTCTCTCCCTTAGGGTTTAAACTCTTCCCTATGTATATCGAGGATTTCGATTGTTAAACAACCTAAAATCCATTGAATTCGGTTGTTCAACAACCAAAAAAGGGAAAATCCAGAGTACCTACGAAAAAAATTCAGTTTTTGAAGAATAAAAAAAATTTCGGTTCTTCAACACTGAAAATTTTAAATTTTTGGCTTTTCAAAAATCGAAATTGGCCTGATTTCGGTTCTTCAACAACAGAAAATCCATTGAATTCGGTTGTTCAACAACCGAAAAAGGATAAAATTGTTTTTTTTTAAAAAAAAATTTCTTATGACATGGAAAACATGAACAGATAAGTAATAACAGAAACTATTAAATAATTTTATAATGACGTAAATTATAACGGATATGTTCGTAAGTTTCCCTAATAATATTTTTTTCTTTTTGTTGGTTTGTTTATTCCTCTTATATAAATCAAACGAATCATAGTTTATTGTTTTCTAAAGGTTTGGTTATATCAACACACCAAGGATGTGATATTTATATCTCCCACTTTAAAATGTGAAGTAGTTTTTAACATTTCTTCTAGAAACAACAGAAATATTCGATTCCCCACTCTTTAAATATCATAAGGGACGTATATGAAATGCCAATTGTGACATTATCGCATTTGACCCTCGTATTTGTGTGGCACCAGTATCCATGTTCTTATTGTAACATAGTTGGGGATGAAGTCATCGGCACAACATTCGAGGTACAAAGCCGATAAGTAGTTCACCACAAAAATACAAAAATAAAAAATGGAATTGTAGATGCATTAGTGGAACTATGGAATAATGTAATTGACATTCTAATCAAATTATATAATATTTCTATTTAGAGAAATTGGGCATGTATAGAACACGCAAGAATACATTTGAAACTTTGAAAGAATGATTATCATTTATTTCTTTCTTTATTATCATTTAGTTATTTATTTATTTATTATTTATCATTATTGTTTTTCAGATATTAAGTATGAAAAATGCCACAATAATAACCACCCTGGTTATTTATTTCTTATAATAATTTATAATGCACATATGCCCTTGTTAGATGTTTTGGTTTAGTTTAGAGAGAAATAAGGTTGATATTTATAATGTGGGGCTTTTGACTATATCAAAGGGGCTCAAATGTAAGGACAAATTGAATTCCAATATGAAGATGCTTTACTTTTACATGTGAGGTAAAGATTAATTTGGTGGGGTATTGCATGGGGTCAAAACTGGTGATATTTTGGTCACACCCCAAAATGAGGCAATCACTGTTTTTTTTTAATCCATTAAGAATATTATGTACTTTGAACGGATTAAACCATAGTGTCGAACAAGCTAGCATTAAATGATTTTAAATTTATGGCTCCATTAGTTTGCATATAGTCCTTTGTAGAAGAAATTAACTTCACCTAATATCCCACCTTCGTTTTTTTTACTGAACAAAAGTATCTATCCCACCTTCGTTTTTTTTACTGAACAAAAGTGTCTATCTGGAAGGCCTATTTTGAAATTGACATTTCTTCCATGTCAGGCACTACCACGAGTTTACATTTCCATTATAACATATATCCCATTTGTTCAACCAATAATTAATGGTTGTGTCTAACCTCATAAACTATCGATTACGTGTCTCTGAAAAAATAAAAGTCATATGCATGCGTAGAAACTTTGGAAGCCTATTATGTTAAGTTATATCATGAAAATTATAAATATAAATTTCAGGGTCCGTACATAAATCACTCAAAAATAAAAATAAAGTTCAAAAATAAAACCATCAAAAAATAGATAACCAAGTTAAAGTAAATTAAAGGCACATAAATACCAAAGAAGAAAACACACAACAATAACAAAGACCAAGTAATAACATTGCAGAGTTCACAACCAATTAATTACGATTACAACTCAACCCTAATTACTCACAATTACAATTCTACTTTATTGGTACTTTGTGTGCAGCTGCATCTTAACAATCCTTTAAGCATTTTAAAGGCATTAATAAGGTCCAAGCAACCGTGTTTAACGTGCATTTGCACTCAATGATGCTTTCCATGCTTGATGGACGGTCAAGATGCAACTATACTCAAGGATCTTATATGCATATTAAACAATAATAATTAGATAAAAAATAATGGTATAAACAAATACATAAAGAATACTATAGTCCAATGGACCATAGGAAACCATGGTCCATATCTAACAAAGTGATGGAAGAGGAGTGGAGCCCGCATTCAAGATCAAGGCCTATTGGTTGGTTCTCATTCCAACCAATTCATCTGATGGTCACCACCTAGATGGACGACAACTCAATCCATAGTCCACTGGATCATAGTATATACTTTACAATAGTAATTCAACACAAATTAATCATCATACAAAGAAACCTTTCTACGTTGTCTCCATGCACATCTAATTTATGTGTTTGGAGACCCACAACTGTCATGTTGATATTAAAGAGCTAGGTCTAGAAGGCTCAACCTTCAATAAGGCCTAGAGCCGACATAATTTCCGGGCGGGTAGTATTCACAGGTGACGAAGGTGTCACCACTGTTGCATATGATCTTAGCACACCCAACCATCTGAGTGTTTCTCCAGACCAGCTGTGTATAGTGGGTGCAGTCTGGGCCTGAGCAGGTGTTGGTCTCATAGTGATAGTCCTGCTCTTCTCTAACCCAAGCCTCCACAGCATCTCTAGCACTCCAATGTGAGCCTTGGCCCCAAAAAATGTTCTCTCCAAAATAGGGACTGGTAGAGTGGATCAATTGGCAGTCTCCTCTCCTTTGGTTTGAGTAAACCCTAGCATAAGTGGCTAGCAATGGCTCCCATTTTAGAGGGGGAACACCAACTTTTGCCCTAGCTTGGTTGTGGCTGTCTAGGAAATGTTGGACCATGTCAGAGCTTGTTTCATAGCCTCTAGAGAGAGAAATGAAGAGAGATGCTATGAGGCCTATGGTCATGGATGAGAGAGAGAGGGCCATTGATGTGAGGTGGGAAAGTAGGGTATTTGTGAGAGAGTAGGAAGGATTAGGGTTTTGAGTTTGGTTACAAAAAAAGTGAAGAAGTTTTAGAGAGAGAGAGAGACAAAGAGATGGGATTGAGGGAGACAAAGAGGTAAGTTTTGATGTTTTTTATTTAGATTTTGGAGTGGGATAATGAGAGATTTTGAGGGTGATGATGTATAGAGGTTTGGGTTTGGATAAAACAGAGTGGAGGAGACGGTTCTATGTGAGAGAGAGAGGGAGAGGAAGTAATTAGGGTTATGGGATTTAGAGAGAGAAAGAGTGTTTTTCTTGAGATTTAGGAGTGGTTGATGAGAGAGTTTTTGAGGGTGGTGTTGTTATATAGAGGGAGTTTCAGAATGTGTTCGCTTTGGTTTTAAGAATGCGCGGGGTGGTGGGTATGGAATGACGTGGTGGTGAGAGAGAGAACATAGTAGATAGAGAAAAAGTGCCCTTTATTACAAGAAAAAGTACTTACTGGAGATACATGCATTACAGCTAAACTCACAAGTCACAAGTTGCTTAACTTTATTACGTTCATGAGCTTACGCATCATTTTAATATGGGAAATCAATGAAGAAAATTATTCTTTCTTTATAATATTTTGGAGAGAGAAAAAAGAGATCGATAGAGAGAGAGAGTTGAAATTCATAGAATCAATGAAGATTATACATGTAACCCGTGATTTTAAAAAGGGTGGTCACAAAATCGTTCGGTTCGGTCAGGAATTGGTCTCTCCATTCTAGTTTTGCATATATATAGAGGAACCGGCAGTTTTCTACAGTAAAACAACGATTCTCTACAGTAAAATGGCGATCCGGACCATCAATTCACAGCTGCGGACCGGTTTTTGGCCGATTTTTTCATAGGTTTTTTCATCGGTTCATTGTTTTTTCCGCATAGTAAAACGGCGATCAAGACTGCCGATTTACCGATCCAAATCGGTTGTTGGGGTGCCCAATCCTTTTTTAAAATTATTTCATGAAACATAATTTATTATTTTATTGGTAAAAAGAGAAATATTTTAACACTACATATTATATAGAGAGCGAGAGAAAGTTGAAATTCACATTAATAAAAGGAAGATTATACATGCCATATCATTTGGTCATTTTATTGGTACAAAGATATCCTTCCTCTTTATTCTGGTTATTGTATTAGAGATCAAGAGAGATGAAATCCATATAAATCAATGAAGATTATCCATGTAATATAATATGTTCATTTTATGGTAACAAAAAAATTTTATTCCCGTTTAGTATGCCAGAGAGAGAGACAGAGTTGAAATGCATACAAATTAACGAAAATTATACATGTCAGAGATCGTAGAGAGAGTTCAAGAAAAAATATTAAGGAGATAGAGACTGTGTATTCAAGAGAGAGAGAGAGAGAGGGGGGAGATAGAGGGTTGTGTGTTCAAGAGAGAGAGAGGGAGGGTTTTGGGGAGTATGACTCGGGGGTGGCGGCCTGAATTTTAGGGTTTTGAGTTCAAATTTCGAGGTAGCCGTTGGAGTGCATTTCACTTCATTGCTCTAAAACCGTGTTTTATGTAGAGTTTTTCTATGTTTCCAACCACCAAGGACTAAGCAACCAATAGGCTCATGAATTAAATTAAATGCTAATCCTTACTTTGTTCAACTCAGACTTTTTCAGTCATTAATTTTCATGGGAATTTCACAAAACAAGCTTCCTTAGTTTCTTCAGAGGAGTATAATTTTTATTTTTTTGGAACACGTGTCATCTAGTTTATAAGGTTGAAGACAACTTTGATCGGATGTTTAAGAGTGATTTGACAATAATGTCACGTATTAATTATTGGTTGGACAGATGAGACATATGTTATATAGAAACGTGTACTTGTAATAGTTCCTGATATAGAAGAAATGCCAATTTAAAAATTGGCCTTCCAGATAAACACTTATTGTGCAGCATGTAGGGAATGTGAAGGTGGGATTTTACATGAAGTTAATTACTTTTATGGTAAGACTTCAAAAGGAATGATTCTATAGTGTGGGAAAGGAGCCGTCATTTGATATGACAGTAAAAGGCTTAGGTAGCCAGTGCAAGAGCGCAGGTTCGAGTCCTAAGAGGGGCCACTTTGTGCATAAGCCGAGTGGCCACTTTGTGCATAAAACCAAAAGTTATGACTGTTTCCAGCCCATTGCTCTCGGACCCTGCTTAGGCGAGACCAGCACCGAGCAACGGCGCCATCGCACATTAATTGTGTTCTAACAAAAAAAAAGACGATGTTAGTCTATAAAACTATTGTCAGCTCATTCATAGTTGTTTAATCAATTATAATATCGTGAAAAGTTGATGGTATCCTTATACATAAAAATATTATGTCTGATGACAGTAGGAAAGTGCTCTACTACAAAGGACTATAAGCAACCGTAAGGAATCACAATTTTAAAATCATTTAATAATTGCTTGTTCAACTCTATGGTTCTATCTACTTATTATTTTGAAAGTACCTAACATTCTTAATGGATTGAAAAACAATGATTGCCTCAATTTGGGGTGTGACCAGAATATCACAGCTGTTTTGACCCTTCCAATAGCCCACCAAATTAATCTTTACCCCTCGTGTCAAACTAAAGCATCTTCATGTTGGAATTCAATTTGTCCTCACATTTGAGCCCCTTTGATAGAGTCAAAAACCCCACGTTGTAAAATCAACCTTATTTCTTTCTAAACTAAACCAAAACATCTAACAAGGGCATGTGTGCATTATAAATGCGATGAGGATAGTATAAGGTGTCAACCTTATACAATTAAAGTAAGGTGCGTCTCAAAACTATGCTGAAAATGCAGTTTTTGTGCCCCGTACGATGGTATAACAATCTATTGTTGTCCCTAATTATAAAATTTAAAATTTCAAAAATGGTCATGATCAAGCAAATCTATACACACTTGAAAATTTTGAAAATGGACAGTCAAGATAATGTGTTAGAAAATGAACTATTTTTAAGACTAGAAATTTCTTATTTTTCATGTCTATGAATCTCAAGGTCGAGATCATTGATTTGAAGGCTTTCTAGCATAAAAACAACCTTTCTCTAGTGGCTTTCGAGCATAATAAATTAATGAAATTATTCTTTTTAAGTTTCAAATGTGTTCTTGCGTGTTCTATACAAGCCCAATTTCTCTAGACAGCAACCTTATATAATTAGCTTTTGAACGTCAATTACATTATTCCATAGTTCCACTAATGCATCTATGATTCCATTGTTATAGGTCTTTTTCTTTTTTTTTCTTCTTTTCTTTTTTTTGTGATGGACTACTTATCAGCTTTATACCTCGAATGATGTGCCGATGATTTCATCAACTATGTTACAACAAAGGCATGGATAAAAGCTTACGAGGGTCAAAAGCGATGATCTCAAAATTGGACACATCCTTATGATATTTAAGGAAGGGTGCGCTTTGTATATAACCGAGGTTCTAAACTATCAAAGTAAAGCCCACCTTCAAATAGTGTTGAGAAATATGATTTCAATACTGAAAATATTTGTGATAGGCTTAAAATATATTTTTCATTTCTAATTATAAATTTTAAAGCTTCAAAAGTAGTGTCGATCGAGCAGATCTATTGAAAACTCAAAAATCTTGAAAATTAACGGTTTAAAATGCATAACAAGATGCACTATTTTCAAAAAGTGAAATCTATTTTTTTTCTCATATCCATGCATTTTGATGCCGAGATGATGAATTTAAGGATATTTGAGCATCAAAACAACCTTTTCTAGAGGGATGGGGAATTGAATATTTCTGTTTTCTGTATAATAAATGTTTAAAAGTACATAGCTTTTTAAGATGTCAAGTGTAAATGTCACATCCTTAGTGTGTTATACCCAAAAAAAATCCTGAACAGGTATATAAGTGGAATAAACAAACCAACAAAAAGAAAAACTATAATGAAAAAAAGAAATGAGAACTAGTCATTATTATTATAAATTGGGCTACAATGGTTTGTATATTAATCCTTTTAGTATTGTTTCTATGTAATTTTTCATACAAAAGAGTAGTGTGTCTGCCGATTCCCTTTCCTCAATGACCAGATGAAACTCTGAGGAAAGAGTCACATTTGTCGTATGCAAATTCTTTGACCTAGGGGGTTAAAAGCTTGAACCAGTTAGTTCAAGACTAAGTTCTAGAGTGACCATGCTAAAACCCTAAGAAGATTGAGATCCAAAGCCTCCTATCAAATCCCTAGAAGATGAGAGAAAGAAGTAATGGATCATCCGAAACATGGCTCGGGATTGATTTGGCCATTGGCTGAGCCAAAGGCGTTGAGGCAATAAGACATAGTGTCATTCCCATCAACTGTTTTTAGGTCTATGCCATCAAGAAAGATATTAGTGCAGGCCACACTCGTAGAGCAAGCCAATGTGACTGCCACTGGTCTGACTGAAGTTCCCCTTACTCCAATAAATTTCACCCCATTCACTTGAACAGCTGATGTCTATAGAAAACCAAACACAAGATAAAAGTATTATTTAGAATTGAAACTATAATCTATAAAGAGAAAGTATCGATAGTTTTCTTTTGTAAAATATATCACAATCATCTCTAGTTACCAAAATGAAGTCCAGCTACAGTAGATGTGCCACTCACCACACTCAATGTCTGAGAAAATATTTCTCATAGTTTGTGTGGAAAAATGACACCCCACCTGTCTAATTTTACATCTGACGGCTAAAAGTCTCAGTGAGATAAATACTCTTATACTTACGATCACTTATAAGAAATTGCACTCCTCTATATGAATTCAATGTATATCACAAGCTAAGTGTTGTAATTTACCAATTTTAGTCAATAATCATTTTAGATGAAAATTTAAAATTTGTGGAGAAAGTTTATGATACTCACTGCATTTTGACAACGATTGTCAGAATCACAATAGTATTGGTCGATGATAATCGGATGGTCCACATTGTCCATGGTTATTCTTTCAAAGGTAATGTTACTTACGGTCCCAGCCCCTCCCTACAAGAAGTTAGAACATGTTAATAGCTTATTCTAGAATATAGACCTTTTTTCTGCTGATGTTATTTGTTCTTGAGATTGTGGCAATTGTGTTTTTTGGCCGTACATTGTTTAATTGTCAAGTAAGGGAAAAAGAATAATTAGGGAAGGGATTTTCACTCTGGAAATTTTTATATGGTTCTTTTTCAACCTATAATTTATTTATTTAGAGATCTACAGTTGTTGTTTGATGACTTAATCTCGATAGGACAGTTGAGAGGGAACTAAACCAATGTTACGCACTCACACCAATTGTATTTGTCGAGTAATAAATTATATGTGACATTGCTATTAATGCAGTCCCATGCATTTCATAGAAATTAGGGCTGGTACAACATGGCTTGGGTTAGGCTAGAGCTTGCCTAGGTCCCTAGAGGCTATCTGAACTCTGCCCTCGGGCCAAATTTTGTGCTGCCATGGTATTCCCTAGTCAGGCCGATCAGACCAGCCCAAGCAACCCAGTCCATTATCAGCCCTAATCAAAATTAAACAACTGCATATCTCTTGTCACATAATTTTATAAATTATATGCCAAAGGCCCATACAAAACCCGATCCTAATTTACAAAAGATTTTACTTTGATAATTAATCTTACCTGCCAGGTCTTAATCCGGGCTCCATTTCTTGTTCCTGTCATGTTAATGTCTTTCACGTGCACACCTTGAACATTTCCTTTTTCTCCTCCCTTTCCCAAACTTCCGATACTGTGCATACACAAACAAATCGTTCATAAAATGTTTACCCATTTAGGATGGGTATCTGAAAATCTATTACATAGAAACATATTACAAGGAAATATGAGATTTATCATGTTTGGGTATACTTCAACAGTAAGAAAATAGAAATAAATTATACATGATTTCTCCAAAATACATAAAATCTATTAGGCTGTGAAATCCATTAGGCAAATAACGAGTAATATAGCGTTTCTTACTAAAAAAATCTTCTATTCCCGATATTCTCCATCTCTACTGTGCTCATCTAGTCTCCCTCTCTCCTGCTTACATCCATTTTTACTTTCTCTCTTTAAACTCCACTTATAAGTGTTTGCATATACTTGACACATCTATTTCTTCCATTTCTATACTCTCCTGAGCACATCCATTTCTATATCCTCCCCAATTTGAGTCATAGCATCTTAAGCCATCAGCTCTCATATAAAAACAAAAATAATAAAATTAATAATTGGTAATCAATGAGAAATTACACGTCACAGTCATAATAAAAATTTTCACACAACATAATCCTTATAAGATATTAGTAAATGCTAAATTCAAATAAGATACATTTTTAGTCTTTTCTAATGACTCAAACTTTTCTATTGCAATTACCAAACCTTATAGTTTATTAATCAAATTTCTTCCAATTTTTTATCTTGTATCATAAAATTTTTTATTTTAGTATCATAAATTTATTGTTTATTTGAAATTATATAGAGAGACATTTGAAAGACTTCTGTGAAAAATAAATAAAAATAAGACTCATCATAATAAAATCATGTTATTTTAATCATATTATTCCAATGACTTATCATGTTAAAACCAAGGTCTAATCATGTTAGAAGACAGGTGTTTCCATATAAGCGCGAAATGCATGCAAAATAAGTAGGAAATGGTATCATGATGAGTTTAGATTGGTACATGTTATTATTATAAAATCTTTTTGGAATGGTGATGATGTTATTATTAGAAAATATTTTTGGAATTGTGTGATGATGATTTTAATTCCGCATTTCAATAAACTTTTGTGACAAAAAAGAAAGAAATGATAGTTTATAGGCAATTGCTATAAAATGTTGGTAATACATTTCCCATATTTCTTCTAAACATAACCAAACAGTAGCAATGTACTTCCCATGTTGCATCTAAATATTACCCAAACAATAACAATCCATTTGCAGGTAATGTATTACGCAGTAATATAATACGCTAGTAATATATTTCACACATCCAAACCCCCTTAAAGATAAGCACGTGTAATGTACCTCCACATGACCAAATTATTGATTTACTCCATAAGGGAAAAGACCTCTTTGATTTTTAGGATCTACTTTAGAATCTTCAGATGAGTATTACTTTAGAATTATGGAGATAAAGAGAGAAAGAGAGAGACCTTATGCCATGACCAGGGCCACAAACTATATGAGAGATATTGAGATCAAAGGTTCCAGATCCAACAGTGATGCAATCATCTCCTGAAAATTGATTAGCTAGATATATATTAGAACTAACATTGAAATTTTAAATGAAAACTTGTAAACATTATGAAAAATCAAGAGACTCAAGCGATTCCAAGGTTTTTCGCCCTAACTTTGCCGGGCTCTGGATCTCGAGTTCGACATGCTATTTTTTAAACAATGTAATCAATATTTTGTAAGTTTAAACATTACAATTGTATACAATGAGACCATTTACTTTTACTACAAGGAGGTCACAATAACTTGCAACCATCCAATGTGAAATTTAATAGCTTGGGTATGTCACAAAGTTTGAAAAAAGAATTGTTAGAACTTTGAGTTTGGTCAATAGAATAAATGCAGCCGCCCAACTTCACATCCAATGGTGAAGATTAATTGTAACCACCTTGTACCAAAGGTAAATAGTCTTATTATATACTTTTCCAAAAATATTACATTAAAATTAAAGCCACAAACCTGTTCCTATGCTACAATTCTCTATGGTCACGGATCTACAGCCTCGTATGTAAATCCCATCCGTGTTAGGGCTATCTCCTGGTGCCTCTATGGTGAGATTAGAGATAGTAACACATGTGGATTGCTTTATGCCTACATGCTTTTGTTGGCCGTTCACAATATTGAGCCCATTCACCCTCACATCACTTGAATGCTCTAATGTAAATGCCTGTGATCAAAATTATAATGATTGTTATGTCAATTTATTTCATGTAAAATAATTTTTTGATATTTTTGGAAGATTCATTTTTTTATTATAAACACACGCCTAAAATTTCAAGTGATTCGGATTTGTAGAAAGAAAATTCAAATTCAAATTCAAATATTGACTGACAACAGTGGCCGTCAGATCGGCCCAGATCCAATCTGGGTCATTGGGCTCATATGAACTCATATGTTAATATGAGCTAATGGGTTAATCCCAT